TAAAATTATATAAACACATTCCTTAACCACTCTTATACGTTAAGTCAAGTAATATATTTGTTTGACTTAACTGGCGATGATACATTTTATTATTATAATATTCATTATTTAGTTAAGCCAAGCAAGTATATTACAACATGATGATATAATAATACAACAATAGAATATAATATAATATAATAATAATACTAATAATAATACTAAATAATAAAGAATTTAGAAAAAGTAGTACAGATCTTCAATAGTACCATATAAAAGATTATCATTTGGAAAAACTAAAAATCTGAACGGAACCAAGGTATATAGCAAGGTACCCCACCAACTAGACTGCTGGAAAACCGAAAAAAAAGGATTCATTGATATCAGGGACCAGTAACCTGGTCTGAGCTGACTCCTGCAGATAAAAGTTCCTTCCAGGCTATATGGATTGGTAGTTTGAGATTCAGGAAGTAAAGATAATAGTCTGTAAAGTATGTACTGAAGTTTGGGTGAACTCTACAAGGGTATAAGTAAATAATAGTAGCAGCCTCAGCTCACAAGTACTTGTTCTTAAACTTGGTGTAAGTTACTGAAATCTAGGTTAGCAGATTGCAGGTATAGAAAGCTCTAGCAGATTTACTTCAAGGATAAAAGGCTTTCTAAAATAGTTAAAACCTGCTTTAAAATCCTAAGCCAGGTGTCTGAAAATAAGGGTCTGAATAGATTCTTGCTCGGTTATAAAGATTAACTCCACAGATACTGTTATACTACGAGTTTATAATATTGTACAAATAGTTCGTAGAATAGTATTTCATATTATATATTTTATATTTTGTATTAGTCGAGGATAAATTAGTTCTAAGGAAATGGATAAAGTATCTGAGACTTCTTGACTGACAAATATACCGGAGATGTCTTAGTAACACAAGTTTAGTTACATTACAGAGGGGTTAAATGGGTAATACCCATAGTTGGGTTACAGGTACAGCATTTAGTGTAGAACTTGTATGATGTACAGGCGGACTACTTAAATTAGACACCAAAAGTATACGTGTGGCTAGTATGTACTCTCTAATGTAGGGGTCCCTAGAGAACCTTTTGCTATATATACCTGAATAAAAATCCTAGCTCCCAAGAGGGTAGACGTTAAAAAAAAAAAAAAAAAAAAAATTTTGTATTAGTTAAATTATATTATTATTTAAATATATTTTATTAGAATAGAATAGTTAGAAGTATATGCCACTGTATGCTATATGCCAGTGTATGCCACCTGCTATATGGTTGTATGCAAGTATATACCACCTACCATATGGTTGTATACCAGTGTATACCATCTACCACATGGTTGTATGCCAGCATATGCCACTTGGCATGTGCTAGTGTATACCACTTCAACAGATATATAAAGAGAGGTTTTTTCTCTTAGTTTCTACAGATATCTTCTCTACAATTTCTACTTTTCCTTGGATATTAGATTGGCCATCTAATATCTGTGCTCTTCTCTTATAATGTGAATTGTATTATCTGTACTACTTGTATTACCTGTACTATCTGTGTAACTTATTTGTATAACTTTATTATTAAAATAAACTATTCTATATCTGTTAATATTGTCTTATATTTTGAGTACCGCTGTAATATTTTGGTGCTTCCTGGTGGAAACACAAAATTATTGACAGGTTTTACAGTACTAAGGAAATCTTTTTTATTAAATCTTTAATTTAGAAACAGTAAACTAGTGTAATTTCTAGACGTAACATTCCCAGCCGTATGTAATTTCTGGATGTAACATTCCTAGCTATGTGTAATTTCTGGACGTAATATTCTCAGCCGTGTGTAATCTCTGGACATAATATTTCTAGCTGTGTTTAAATCTCTGAACATAACATTCCTAGCCGTGTATATTCTGAATAGGATTTTGTTTTATATTGCTAACAAATTCAGAACGAAACAGTCAATTGGATTCCAGTATTTGGTTCTGAAAAAAGAATCAGAATATAATATAGTATATGACTACTGTAACTGAGTTTTACAACGATCAAATAGCCTTACACAAACAAGCTTATCAACAAACTACTTCATTACCTTATCCAAATTTACAACTCAATTATTCAAATTTATCTTGCTCTATTTGTTTTTCCCTTGGATGATATAGTTCGAACAGACAGTTTGGTCAGTTTGTTGAGTAGTATCATACTATCGCCCTATTACAATCCTGTAGCTTATTTACTCATAATCAACTACATACTTTAAATCATACTACAAGATATACTATCACTCGCAGAGCTGCTCGAGATATAATATTTAGCTATCGCTATTATAGTGAAATTCCTGATCCCAAATTTTTAATAATTTATTTATTACAAAGATATACCATCTTTACATATTATTTACCTTTAGAAATATATTTTGCTAACCTCTACAACTTATATATTGATACTGACTACCAAGTAGAGGATTTAATTAATCTACCTGAAAAGTTAGAACCACATGAAACTTCATATATTTCTAATAGTAGCCTTCAATTAACCCAATACTCTGACCCTACCAATATTACTTACTTAGAAGATAGTTTTTTTAGTGAAAGATCTATATCATATCAATTACCTATTAGTACTTCTTTACCTAAATCTGTAATTTTAAATCCTAATTTTAGTACACCTCATAAATTATTTGGTTTTGAAACAGATCAAATTCTTGATCAGATTAATATTGAAGCAAACCCTACTGTACCTATAAATCCTAAACCAATGGCTGAAGCTGATACTTTACGAGATGCTGCTGCTATACAAGCTTTAGCTGCTGCACTAGGATGAGGAGGTGAAAAGACTTTAGTAACCTTAAAATACTTTGAAGAAGACAGGTCCCAAGATCCTGTTGAATGAATAGAAGAATTTGAACATGCAGCTATTGCTAATAGATAGAATGCAGACAGACAATTGGAGCTTGCCCCTACATATCTTAAAGGTATTGCTCAAGAATAGTACCAATTCTTAAATGATACCCAAACTGCTATCTCTTTTAGAACTGATAATACCCAAGCCTATAGTTTTTACTATATGTTTAAAACATGCTTCTCTACTTTTACTCAATAAGCTGCCTAGCAAAAACAAATCTTTGATATTCAGCAAGAAACAGATTCTGTTGATGCCTATATTAATCGATTTAAAAAGCTTTGTAATCGAATTAATTCTAATAAAGGATTCCTAGGAGATTTTATCAAACAACTTTTTATACAAGGTCTTCAACCTGACTTGGCTATCTATGTACAAGCATTTAACTCTACAAATATAAATACTGTAATTGAAATAGCCAGAAGATGAGAAATTAGAAAAATGTTAGCTTCTGGATCTACTAGTAAAGTAGAAAACATGATCCAAGATTTAACTGATAGTTTTAAAAATATGAGTCTTAATTTGGTCCAACAAAATAACAAAAAGGAAGCTTATACTGTTGAAAGTGATTATAATCTAACCAATTAGAATCAAGAAAAAAATAAAAGCATAGATTCAACTATTCATTGTTTTCAATATAATAATTTAGAACATATTGCTATATATTGTCAACTCAACAGAGAAAGGAATCATCCAAATCGAAATAGAGATTTTAGAAAAAGATCAACTTAGCAGATAATAAAGAAACTACCTCTACCAATCATTGGGATACTCTTCTAAATAATACTAGTATTAGAGAAGCCTTAGCAAATTATCTGCAAGATGACTCCAATATTGTAAATCTGGTATACTCTAATAGACCACAAACTATTCCTGTGAAATATCAAACAACCATTTCTAATAAACCATTTACAGCTATTATTGATAGTGAAGCTGCTATTAGTATGATTATCCAACAAGCTGCCAAAGAAATTAGATTGGAAATAGACATTCTTTCTAATAGTTTAATTTCATCTGTACTTGGAAAACAAGTTAGACCTCTAGGTGTTATTAAGAATGTTCCTGTAAAAATTGCAGGAATTACTATTCTTATCTCCATAGAAATTGTACCAGCAACTACTTATTCTCTTATTTTGAAAAATAATTGGTCTCGCAAAGTTATCGTATTATTGTACCTACCACCTATGAGTATAACCAGGCTATAGAAGGACAACCTATAGTCAGTAAAGTAGATGATGACTGGGAAGAAGAATATAAGGATAAAGAATTAATCTCTCATGAGGTCTATACTTTAGAAACAGAATCTAATAATATTGAAGATTCAGGATGGACTATATATCAACAAAAACCAAAAATCTCTCGCAAGAAAAACCAGAAATATCGAACCTGTAGACAAACTGATCACTACTTTGAAGATTGCCAATATAATAAATATTGGTGATATGATGAGTATAGACATATTGCTGTTAAATATCCTTATCAAAAATCTAAACATACTACCTGTGCTAAATGTAGTCAATCAAGTCATCAATTTAAAGATTGTCCAGAAAATGAATGTAGAAAATGTAATAACAAAGGATATATTAGTGCTAATTGTTCTAGAAGTAAACTTGAACAAGAAAATAAAAGATATCAATGTGGTTGTAATGAAGAGGAAGTTTCTAACCAAAAAGCATATTATTATAATCAAAAGAGGAAACATCATTGCTATTAATGCAAGTATCCTTAATTTGGTAATAAATTAATGCTACTAGAAGAGACTCTAGTTTGCAAAGCATACTATAAGGACTATCATAAAAATTTGAATCAAGAAGACCCCAGGAGCCATTATTATTATAAACAAGGATTAGAAAGAGGAACTTTAATTAAATGCATAGTGTGTGAAAAAGAAAATCCTAAATACAACATGCATAATTTGCTAAATAAAACTTGGTTTTGTAGCTTTGAGCATATGTATGCATACAAAACTAGTAAAGAGAAAAAAAAATTTATCAATATAGTAAAAAGAAAATAATAAAGAAGTCCAGGACACTGTCAACCTGGATAGGATTAACTTTATAGACAGATTTTTAAAAGAGTTTAAAGAAATAAAGAACAGGTGTTTAACGGAATTCAATTCAATAGCCTCCTAAGGCACTATAAGGTTTTTGCAATAGGTCAAT